AGCCCAGACTTAAACCCCATTGAAAATCTGTGGAATGACTTTGAAGACTGCAGTCCACAAATGCTCACCATCAAATTAAACTGAACTTGAGCAGTTCTGCAAAGAAGAGTGGGCAAATATTGCAAAGTCTAGTTGTGCAAAATTAAGAGACATATCCCAATAGACTAAAGGCTGTAATTAAAGCAAAAGGTGCTTCAACAAAATACTGACACAAGGGGGTGATCCTTTTTCATCCTTTTTTTTTTCTGACATGTTGATGTTTTTATCTTTCACTTGGATGTTATAAGTTGCACTGAGTAAATACAGCTGGATAAAACAAAAACTGTGTTCGTCTTCATTTCAGACTGCAAAGCAACAAAATATGATTATTTTATGGGTGGGGTGGGGGAGGTGATTCTTTTCTATACCCACTGTACATTTGTCTGAAATGATAAAACTGAAAAAGAAAAAAAATTATTTTAGAGATGTTATCAAAAGGAAAAAAATATAAGCAAAAATATTAATCTCTTTATTTATCTCTAAAACATTTTTTTTATCAGACTCAGGCAAGTCTATAACAGGAGGTTTTAAACTGTACAGACCCCGACCCAACCCAAGGACCCCCAATATATATATTTTTCTCTCTGGTAAACTTTCTTTGATGACAAATATTAACACCTTCTACAATATTTAAAAGTGCAATAATGCACAACATTTAGAAATGATTAAATATTTTTTAATCCCTTTTTAATTTTTTTATGTCGTCACGACTGAGCTTTGACAAAACACACCTTGAAGATTCTGAGGCAGATGAGACTAAAATTGATTTATCTGGCCTCAACACCAAACGATATGCCCCCGACCCAACCCAAGGACCCCCAATATATATATTTTTCTCTCTGGTAAACTTTCTTTGATGACAAATATTAACACCTTCTACAATATTTAAAAGTGCAATAATGCACAACATTTAGAAATGATTAAATATTTTTTAATCCCTTTTTAATTTTTTTAAAGACTGGAGTAATGGCTGCTGAAAATTCAGCGTTGCCATCACAGGAATACATTTTAAATTACAATTTAAAATAGAAAACAGTTATTTTAAATGTGATAATATTTCACAATATTATTGTTTTACTGTGTTTTTGTCAAATAAATGCAGCCTTGTCTTCTTTCAATCTTACCAACCAAACTTTTGAACAGTAGTGTATAGGCCTATATATCAGCCTATTTTTTTATTTTTATATGACGTCTCTGTTTAGATAGTTGTGTGTCTGTGCTTGTACACATGGTTCCATCCACAGTAAATAAGACTAAATATGAAAACTCTTGGGTGTTCCAGTGCTTTCTACTCTGATCTCCAGAACAGTTCAGAGGTGTACTTTAACAACTGACCTGAACCAATTAGTGAGGGTCATCATTACGTAGAGGGAAGCCAGAAAGAAAACAAAATGGAAGAAAAAGTAGCTGTAGGCAACGCGCTGGGTTTCATTGTGGATGACTTTCTGACAGCCTTTGTTCTCGTCAATGACAAACTCTTCCTCTGACAGGACAGAAACAAAGATGTTAATATCTTCTATCTCATACAGTATAATGACATTAATATGTTTGTGAAATCTATGGATATTGGAACTTGTGATATTCTCACCATCTTCAGCCTCTGGGTAGCAGAAGCAACAGGAGGCTTTCTGTTCAGGACAGAGAGTGAGAGACATTGTCAGAGATGTTAATTCAAAGACAATATATTTAAGTACAATGATTCTGTAATTTTAATAGGTTATTTCACCCAAGAATGAAAATTCTGTCATCGTTTGCTCACGCTCATGTAGTTCCAAACCTGTATGAGTTTCTTTCTTCTGTGGAACACAAAAGAAGATATTTTGAAGAATGTTGGTACCCAAACAGTTTTGGTTCCCATTAGCTTCCATTATATGGGCAAAATATCTTCTTTTGTGCACAGAAGAAAGAAACTCATACAGGTTTGGAACTACACGGGTGTGAGTAAATGATGACAGAATTTCAGGGGTTTTTGGGGGGGTTTTTTGGGTGGTGGACTGTCCCTTTAAGAGTTAAACAGCTCAAATCACAAAAATAATTATAAGAAATTCTGAGAAAGTCACATACCTGAAATTCATAGCGGTAAACCTTTATCATCCAGAAAGGTCCAAAGACCTCAGCTAAGTATGAAGCCTCATTGCTGAGAGAGAAATTCAGCAGTTAGCCATTTTATTCATATCCTAATTATTAATAACTCAATACGTTTTTACTCACCATGCAAAGAGAACACAGCAGTACATGATTGCAGCCCCAATAATGGCCACAGCATTGCCTTCATTTTGAATCTCATCCCTGCTGACTTTAGGGTAGCACACCGTCATGTTGACCCCCTGATACTCCACTGAAAGAACACACAAAAACTGGTGTTAGTCATCACACATTTATTTTGCCCTTATGTAAATTAAGTTTCTAGATTTGTTTTCCACAAACTCATCGTTCAGGGTTTCAGAATCATGCCCTGTAAATTCCTGTTCAATTAACAGCAAATGCTCAGTTGTTTGAAAACAGCTAATTGAAAATGACTAATTACATTTAGTGTCACATTTACACGCTTCATTTAGGATTTCTTGAGCCCATTGCTGCTGATTTAGAGATGCTTTAGAGGTCTGTGGATACTGTGTGTTATGTGTCTGAGAGAATTCCTCTGAGATGGGATTAAACTCCCAGCATGCCTCAGGGTGCACTTCAGTCCTTTATGAAGTCATGCAGCAAACAAAGGCTATAAAGCCGCTGATAGTTAGGGAACAAGACAGGACACAACAAACACACATATACACGCACGGCGCCATTCACCAAAATGAAAAAAAGGCACAAGAAGTCAGTACACCGTTTCTCTAGAAGCAACAATACACTGCCATATTAATCACACTACAAACATGATATTTCAAGCCAAAAGCGCTTCATCAGGCATTATGTAAATCATACTAAATCCAAAGTCCTAAAGAATTATTCTGCAATCCTTTTACATCAATGACTGTAATTCTTCTTCTCTGAACTTTACCATCCGTATAACATCTGCATTTCAAATACCCACGTGAAACACCCTTAGCAACATCTGTGTTACATACTTGAGAGCTTTTCTATAACCTCAGGCACAAAAGCTTTTCTTTCTGGAAATCTCTTTCATCTCTGTCGTATGTTAAGCATGAACCATATATGGTGCCATATAATACCATATAATTTTGAAGTTTAACACTTATGCCCATTTAATATTCATGTTTTGTTTTGCTTTATTTTAGCCTTATTTATTCAACGAAAACAATTTTAATAGTTACCTAAATAGCTTTATTTAAATGAACAAAAACAGTTTTTAATAAATAGTTAGCTAAATAGGTTTAGTTAACAATACTATTTATGATGCTGCACATCAAGTTTGTTTAGTATTTTTAAGGAATTCTTGTTGTATATAATAAACTGTCTATAATATTGGCATTGGATGGAATTACTTCATGACCTGGTTTTAATAAGTAAATTGGGCTAATTTTTTTATATTCATATTTGACAAATCAGTATTTGGAAGCAGAAAAGAGCGGAGGGAGAGTAGTCTGAATTGGGTTCTGTCCCGTGGTGGCTGGTGTAAAATTTTCTAGGTAGGGCGCCACGTCCTAAAATGTTTGCATACATCCCGGTATGATTTATGATTTAAAAATATTATGACTTGAAACATTTTAAATAAAGAAAATTGTTTTACCAAGTTCAAGATTAAGTTTGAGGATGATTCTCAAGATAAATAAATGTTTTTTAATTCTCATAATTCACGATTTATGTATTTCTATAACTACAAGTCAAGCTGCAATACCAAACAGGACCACACGGAGATGTCAACAGACCACTACACCAGTCGCCTTAACCTGACTGTATATAAATACAAGGATCCATTCAGAATGATTAAACAGAGCAAAAGACAAATTAAAAAAGCATATAAAAACATTCTGAATTTGTCGAATGTGAGGATCTGAAGACAGCACAACATCACCAGTGAACAGTTCCTCTGTCAGAGTGAGTGTTGAGCCCATATGTATATAAACACCACGAGAGCTGGGTAGTAACTGAATACATGTAATCTGGATTACGTAATCAGATTCCAAAAATTAAGTACTTGTAATTAAATGAAATTACATTTTTAAATACTTGTAATCAGACTACAGTTACTTTTTATAAATTACATGATTACATATAATTTACACAATAGCAATAAATTATTCATAATTCATTGATTGATTCTCCCTAATTCCTCTTTTTCATCTTTTAAATTTTCTTTTCTAAATTAGCTTGCTAATATACACTCAGAAAGTTTTCCAGTTTTGTGGACCACTGGACTTACAAAAATAATTTCAAGTTTAAGAAATGTTTTAACTTTCCATCAACTAACTACTGATGAACACATTGATTTTTATTTGAATTATCACTCAGGCGGTTATTTACCCATGCATTTCTATGTCTTTGGAAGATGTGTGTCTTTCAAACACATTAAAATGCACAAATTCACAAACTTTTTTTGTTATCAGATCATCTTTCGCCTAATATATTTACTTGAAGTACACCTGAGACTTATATAATAAATATTTTAATAATAAAGTATCACATTTGCATGCTCATGCTTCTCTGATGTTGGTTATGGTCACATGACATGCAGGTAAACAAACAAAAAACATTTTTTAGTAGGCCTACTGTTTTATTTTGATTGATTTTAAAATGATTGATTTTAATTTAACATTTTTATGATTTAATTCATTATTAGCTTTTCTTTAAACTCACAAACCTCCTGCAGTTCCTTCACAAACCCCTTTGGGTAACCTTGGCAATATAATGTAATGTTTAATGCACTTCATGCTGTTAATAGCAATGAATGGAATATATTTTCTTAATCTTTGTATTTTTATATCAATATGGTACAAGATTATCCTATTTAAATCAATGTGATAAACAATTTAATATTCAAATCAAAATATGACCTTCTGTTATGAAACAGGACATCGATTTCATACACTAGGACTTAAAGCATGTTTATTACACATTTTGGGAATTATGTAAAAAAATTATGTATCAATATTCCTATTAAATATTAGATCTTATTATGAAAATCTTGCTAATTATTACTCCCATTATTGCACTTATTTGTTCATTCTATGTTGCCCCAAAAACACATTAATATAAGTCCCGATGTCTTCTACAGAGGACATGGCATAACATATGAATAAAATATCATTTTTCAAAAATGTTATTTTTCACATTTTTTCTTATGCTCTAAACAATGTAATGACATGACAAAATACTAAATTCACAAAACTGTTTTTTCCAGGTAGTCAGGAGGATATACTTAAGTTTCTTATCTTTCACTAATATGATTTCGATACAAAAAACAACGCCAATAGGCCAGAGGACCATATTTTTATATATTATAATATAAGACTGCCACGTACCACCTCTTATTCTCAGCTGCACCGGTTAACCTGGGAATGAGAGGCAGAGCAGAGACGGGGTGTGATCAATGACGCCTCATGTCTAAATCGAAAAGGAGAATTAACAATTCCATTGTGTTAAGATGACTTTCATCATGAAAATAGCTTGAAGTAGACTCCACAAACATCTGGCAAAAGCTGGAAGTCAGAGGGTAAATGGGGAGATAAGTTTGAATGCGTGTTTGTATGTGTGTATATGAATAAGTGAGATACCGGAGCAAGAAACAGGAAAGGACAGAGATTATCTAAAACTCTAAAAATGTTGAGGGTGATATTTTATCATTCCAGAGCGAGATGTGACTCAGACACGAACCAGATGTGGTGTCTTCCTACAGTAGTTATTGTTGATTAGTGCAGGTTTGCCTCAAGAGAACATCTGTCTGTGTGAACCCAGTTTCCTCACTCACCAGTTTTTATTCCAGAAGGCCATGGTGGCGATGGTGTAGAAAAAGAGGGTAGCACACATGACTGCCACGTACCACCTCTTATTCTCAGCTGCACCGGTTAACCTGGGAATGAGAGGCAGAGCAGAGACGGGGTGTGATCAATGACGCCTCATGTCTAAATCGAAAAGGAGAATTCACAATTCCATTGTGTTAAGATGACTTTCATCATGAAAATAGCTTGAAGTAGACTCCACAAACATCTGGGAAAAGCTGGAAGTCAGAGGGTAAACGGGGAGATAAGTTTGAATGCGTGTTTGTATGTGTGTATATGAATAAGTAAGATACCGGAGCAAGAAACAGGAAAGGACAGAGATTATCTAAAACTCTAAAAATGTTGAGGGTGATATTTTATCATTCCAGAGCGAGATGTGACTCAGACACGAACCAGATGTGGTGTCTTCCTACAGTAGTTATTGTTGATTAGTGCAGGTTTGCCTCAAGAGAACATCTGTCTGTGTGAACCCAGTTTCCTCACTCACCAGTTTTTATTCCAGGTATGAGCGAAAGCAGTGATGAGAATGAGTTGAATGAGGATAAAAGCAAAGCCTCCCACTACTCCAACATAATGCCAGGCTACATGGAGAGAGGACAAAGAGGAGAAAATAAATTAAAATAAGATATTGAAATCCAGTGAACTGAGATTTATGGGACACTGGACTTTATTTATAAATCATGAGCAGAGCAAAATCATACGTAGAACCATTTGTACGTTAATGTACCACTGAATTGAATATAACAGTTTGCACACAAATTCTTTTCAAAGAAATGTGTTCAGGTTATCTTTCATAAATGAGGCCCACGGAGTGAATCCCCACTTTGTGCGCTAATGTAAAATATTCAGTGTGTCTATAGTGCCACCTGATGGATTTAAATAAAAAATGCAATTCACATTATCCAGACTGGCCAGAGACTCGCCATGAGCCTGTGATATAATCACATTAGGCGCATAATCACTTTAGTTACAGACTATTCACTACACTTACCATGTTTTGATCGATATACTTCTTTTCCCATATCAGTTCTGATGCGCAATGTATTGGTATCGTATTGGTTGCCAATTGGCTGCCAAATTTAGAGATTGATTTATTGGTATGAATGTTGATTTAAGTGTGCATTCTCATTTCCCCTATTTTTTACATTTAGATTATCTTTACCATCATGTGACACTCATTTAAAGTTAATCTTTAAAGCTAATTTAATTTACAAATTTTTAAATGTAATATTTAGCAAAAAATTCCAAATGAATATCAATTTTTTATACTGTACATTATAATGTTGTGATGTCTAAATTATCTTGTTGTGTTTCACATGATTTATTTTAGTTTTTAGTGTTTTATCTTTGATTATGTAGACATAGTAGTGTAGGAGCCAATGTGTTAATGTCGATGTATTTTGGGTTGTCACCACTTGGGGGCAGTATATGCACATAGTGTTTTTAAGTCGGTCATTCACGTACGTAGAGGAAGCAGGCTTGGTGCAGGGAACGTATACAGTTTTTACCACACTTCAGGAAGGGAAGGTGGCCACCATTCATCGTTGCAAGTATGTATTTCCATTATGTTCAATAAAGCAATTTTAGACTGAAATCGACATGAAGACTGGACATTGGATGTGTGCGTAAAGCGTGCGTTGATATTCCAAGCCTCCGGCACTTAGCTGCTGATACAAGTAGTATAGAATTCTAATGGATCATGACTTAATTATAGCCTTGGCCATAACATGTACAACCGTTCAAAAGTTTGGGGTCAGTAAGATTTTGAAAGTTTTTGAAAGAATTCTCTCATCCCCCCACCCCCCAGTAATACTGTGAAATATTATTTAAAACAATTTAAAATGATTTTCTATTTTGATATATTTTAAAATGTAACATTCCTGTAAAAGCTGAATTTACAGCAGCCATGAATTCAGTCTAGAGTGTCATACATTTTTTTGGTCAAACAAAATAATTTTTTTTTTTGTCAAAAAAACAAAAACAAATTCTGACCCCACACTTTTGACCGGTAGTGTTATTATTGGATTTATTGGTATCAGTCTTTTTTTTATATCAGTGGATCTCTATATATTATTTATCAGAAATATAATATATTATATATATTATATATAATATGTAATATGATCAGCTCACCATGCAAAAAGGATTCTGTGGGAATAAAGAAGGCAGCAGCAATCATTCCAAGCATGGTGATGAACTTCAGAAACCAAAACCTAAGTGAAGATGAGGAGAATAAGTGTGTGTTAGTTTATTTATATTAAGTAACTTAATAAAGCTGTTGGATGAGGCAAGATGTCATTTATATTTTTAATACAAAATCTGTTGGGGTTGGTCCTACAAGAGCCTCCAAAAATCTGGTTGACCCTTGTCCATATCACGTTCTTCCTCAACAACCTAACGTCTTTTTAAAATATACACTCTTAAAAAAAGTTTTTCTCAGCAACTTCATAAAAAACCTTCAATTATCTAAAGAAGAAGAAGAAGAAGAAGAAGAAGAAGTCCACCTTTTGCCACTATAGAGAACCTTTTTGTGCAACAGAAAGGTTCCATATGTTAAAGTTTCTTCTTGGAACCATAGATGCCAATAAAGAACCATTATTTTAAAGAGTGTAGGGAATAATGACACTGACCCATTATGAACGAGGGCTCGGAAATCCTGACTAGACTTCACATCAATGTGGAAGATGGCCATCATCAAGTAGAAACAAGCTGTTCCGAAACACACCCTGTAGACAGCAGAGTAGCCCACCAGCATCTGACAGTCTCCTCCACCATGAGCCTCATCACACACCACATTAAAGAAAGGCACCTGAGGAAGAGTGACCTCTGTTATTGTGTTTCTGTAGGGTACAGACTACTGGCATGTGTAGCTGGTGTGTGTCCTGCCAAGCAGATTAGCTAAGATTTGATTGCATGAGACTAGATACAAATGAAATGAGTTTGGGGTGTTTGCAGCACTGGCGGTACAGTGATAAAAGTAGGTTAGAACCACTGGAGCCTGTGCAACTTGTAAACAACTTACATTCTCCCTCACTGCCTCTGACACGGTCTTAGACAGCATGAGGCATGAGGCAGTGCAGGCCAGGATGTGGAATAGCGTGTACATGATCCGCGTGCTGGTTGATGATTTGACGGGCGGACAGAAGGAGCAGCACAGGGAACATGGTGCCGGGCCACAGCAGCAGCATATCTGACGGAAAGAAAAGCAGACCAGTCAGGGGTTGGGATTAATCGAGATCACTCAAAGCATCTGGAATTTTCTGATGGATCAGGGCTGGTAGCCTGGATGAGGTCCAGGCATCTTTTATCCTCAGCTAAACCCAGAAGCATAGATTGGGCTGAAACTCAATTCCCACTGACTTTAAAGATTAATCTTTTATTAGCATAAAGGATTTGAAATGATAGCGGCATGTGTTATAATGAAAAATCTTTGAGAAATTTTTAACATGTGCTTCAATCCAATATCCTGTTGCAGTTATTCACTATTTGAAATGCAGGGAAAAGCCATCAAAACATATAGTAATTCCCAATGGAAATGTCAAACCCTCATATTGTGTTCCGGTCATTTTGGCCCGGAGGATTTTCTTTCTCCTGTTATCACATTGGGCTAAAACTTACCGATTTTGCTCACACCGGGTATAACAATTTCCCAAACATTTTTTTTTCATAATATTTGTACTTTTTTGGGGGTATTTTTCACCCTTGTACTTACACTTGTGTGTTCCCAGTCAAAAAACGACCGACCTACAAAAAAATTTCTTGTCATCTTATTTTATTACCAAATATTGGATTCAGTCTTTTTAGCAACATCTTGTTTTTTTGTTTTTTTTTTCAATTAGCACAAGTTTTGTATTTCTTGTTGGAACTAATCGATTGTGGGCCTCAGTGATCCGAGTTTATGCTCCTCAGTTTTTGAGTGAACATGGCCAAAATTGTACACAAATAATGCTTTTTTTCACTCAAAAACTGAAGTGCAGCTCAGTGAGGCCTATGATCAATCAGTTCCAAAAAGAAATACAAAACCTGTGCTAACTGAAAGAAAACAAATTGACAAAAAAATGTGGTGATAATACAGCATAATAAGAGATTTACAAGCAATTTTTAAAAGGTTGGCCATTTTTGACTACAGCACAAGGGATAATTCACCCATAATTGTACATTCTGTCATTATTTACTCACCCTCATGATGTTCAAAACCTGGCTTTCCTCCTTCTCATAAACACAAAAGAAGATCAGTGAATGAATGTCATGGGGGACCAGCATTGTTTTGGACCTCACTGATTCATTTTATGGACAAAAAAAACAAACATTCTTCTATGTTCCACAGAGTCATACAGGTTTGGAAGGACGTGAAAGTGAGTAAAGGATGAGTAAATGATCATTAGATTTGATTTGACATCGCTGTTTAGAGACAAAACCCTCAGGTGCATGGTAGAATGCCATAATTGTTCAACAGAGCAAATTAGTTTTGAAGGAATAGTGACAGCTTGTGACAGCAGAATATTTTTGGCCTAAAATGCCATGACTAAGTATATTTGTGCCAACTGGAGGATTTGATTTGATCCTTTATAGAAATTGATTTACAGAAATTGAACTAAAGTTCAAACGTTTTATCAGAGATTCTCATGTCTCAGAAGTAAAACAAAAAAGCGAACTGAACAATGTGTTTATTACAAACAAATAAATCATCTACTTTTGATTACAAGTAATTTCCTTATTAACTAAATGAAATAGGGCTACTCCTGTTTTTTCAGTAATTTATTTTATAAATTGTTCAATGAACAAGTTCGTTACGTTTGTGCATCGCTATATGTGACTCTGGACCACAAAACCAGTCATAAGGGTCAATTTTTTGAAATTGAGGTTTATACATCATCTGAAAGCTGAATAAATAAGCTTTACATTGATGTATGTTTGTTAGGATAGGACAATATTTGGTCGAGATACAACTATTTAAATATCTGGAATCTGAGGTTGCAAAAAAAATAAAATAAATAAAAATACTGAGAAAATCACCTTTAAAGTTGTCCAAATGAAGTTCTTAGCAATGCATATTACTAATCAAAAATTAAGTTTTGATATATTTACGGTAGGAAATTTACAAAATATCTTCATGGAACATGAAAAATCGAAAATTTTGACCCATACAATATTTTTTTGGCTATTGCTAAAAATATACCCAAGCGACTTAAGACTGCTTTTGTGGTCCAGGGTCACATTTTCCTCTGATTATTTAAATAATCAAATAAATAATCAGATCAAAATAAAAGGCAGTAACTATTAGCATATATATATATATATATATATATATATGACCCAGGAGCACACAACCAGTCATAGGGTCAATTAATTGAAATTGCGTTTTATGCATCTTCTGAAAGCTGAATAAATAAGCTTTGTTGGTTTGTTAGGATAGGACAATATTTGGTCGAGATACAACTATTTAAATATCTGGAATCTGAGGTTGCAAAAAAAATAAAATAAATAAAAATACTGAGAAAATCACCTTTAAAGTTGTCCAAATGAAGTTAGCATTGCATATTACTAATCAAAAATTACGTTTTGATATATTTACGGTAGGAAATTTACAAAATATCTTCATGGAACATGAAAAATCGAAAATTTTGACCCATACAATATTTTTTTGGCTATTGCTAAAAACATACCCAAACTTAAGACTGGTTTTGTGGTCCAGGGTCACATCTTGTACTTAAAATACACTTGAGACAAGCTGTCTAATTACTATATAACTCAAACTGCTCTTAATAAATCAGTGGCAATATTCCTACAGCGGATGAAAACACACTGACTCTTAAAGCTCATGATGATAGAATGAGTCATCCATCGTCTTAATTTCTTTTGACAGAAAGCACTTTCCATGATGCCTGTGCGTTTCTGTTGAGAGAGGAGTTTTACCTTCTCATACCAAACAACAACAATAACAACTGACCAAATAATTTTAACAGTGCAATAAAAATAGTAGTCATCTAAAATAGTAGTGGAATTAAAGAGTAAAAGTGATTGTTATATTCTGGTGAATAAACTCAACCACTATTACGTAGTTATTCAAATGAAATGCACTAATGCAGGGTTAAATAGTTAATACAAATAAAATGAGAAATGAGCTGAGAGTGTTATGCCAGAGCATTATGACAACCTGTAAACGCAGTGTGTCACTTCACAAGCTTTTCAATAATTTTCTCAATGATCCAACTAAAGCCACAGCCAAAAATTCTGCAATCCAGTACCTGAAAATGTTATAGTCATGATAAGTAACATAGGCATGAACATCCTTATGTTCATCATTCATCATAAACTGTCTTTCAGTTCTATGTTCTACAAAGGCAGATTCGTTTCTTGTAAGAGAAGCTTGAATAAAGCTTTTCTTGTATTCCAGTGATCAGAGAATTATGAGAAATAAGTATAATCTGAAAAACCTGACATGTCATTCTCACATCTCTCCTCACTATGAAATAATCTCCATCTCTCCCTCTCTCACCTGATAAGCCACCATGTTCAGGAAATAGTTGTAGACACCGCTTTGGTGAAAAGCTTGATCAGTCGACATGGCTTCTTATTTTTCAAGGACGCGTAGTCATTAAAACACGACCTCCAGAAAAATAAAAAAAGTATATGCTATAACCAGTCAGGGTCAGAACACTGTATTATCTGTAGGAGCTCAGCTTTACAGGAAAGAGTCCTCAGCTAGTTTCTCCTGCAGGTGTAGTTCCACTGATCCCCAACTGCACACCCTCATGTTGCTCTCGTGGGAACATCTGAACATTCTTCCTATATCCTATACGAGCAGCCTGGTGGCATCGGATGGTGCCAGGAGAGTGTGTGAGCAAGGGTGGATGCCCAGTTGCCTGTACTCTAGATTAGGCAACAAGAGCAGCGGGAGGAGGGGGCGGGTTCTATGTGTTGGCCCATCTGTCCCTCCCTTCCCCCTCGCTCCAGTGCACCAGCGCATCCTCATGCACAATAGGATTGCTCCAGGGTCCTAATCGGTTTAGGGCTAAATAATGAAATTATACTTGCGATACTGTGATTTCTCTCACAAAGTAGACAAACCTTTAGATCCCCCCTTTTGACATCTTAGCAACCATTCACTTGTCTGACTTTATATGTAATCTGGTCATTATGCTTTGACCCAGACACTGAAGGGTGCAATTGAAGCAGGAATGCACAGGAAGAGTGGCACAGGTCCAGTCCCGCATTCTTTTGCATACATTGACCAAAGCCTCATTGTACAACTTCACATAATAAGTCTTCAAAATCAGAGACAGATTGTTTCAGTTGTTCTAATGAAGTGGATAGGAGTTGTTAGCGTGCAGAGCGGCCGGTAGCTCTATATTTAGGTCATTGTGTATTTGTGAGGATGTGCACTGGGATTATCCTGGAGTTTTTAGTCCTCGTCTCAGCCTGGGTGACCTTCTCTCTCCGGTAGAGTGACACACTAATCCAGACAGCAGGGTCTGACAAACACAGTCCCACTTGAACTCATCATCGGCCTTCAGCATCGTGTACGGACATGACATCGTACATGACATCGTGATTCAGAAATCACACTTGAAATCACTCAAAAGTAGAATTTGTTATTATTTACTCACCCTCATGTCATTCCAAACCTGTATGACTTTCATATTGCTTCTGCGGAACACAAAAGAATGCGTTCTAAAGAAAGTTGCAGTCCAAACAACACTGGACCACTTTCATTTTATGAAATGAAATATTTCCTTTTATTTTTCGCAATATCTTCTGATTACACTTTATTTGGAAATACTTTATTTTAAGGTGTCCTTGTTACACGTTACATGTACTTACTATTATAATAGCAATTAATTATGCATAATTACATGCAAGTAACCCTAAGCCAAACCCAAATCCTAACCCTAACCATATAGTAAGTACATGTAGTTAATTAATATTACTCCGTACTTGTATGTATAATTACACTGTAACAAGGACACCTTAAAATAAAGTGTAACCATTTAGTTTAAGGTGATGTTGTTACACTGTAATTACACAAGCAAGCACTGAGTAATGTTAATTAAATATATTTACTATAGGGTTAAGGTTAGAGTTTGGTTTAGGGTTATGGTTATAGCTAGTTTACTGTTATTATTATAGTAATTACATGAAACATACACTCTAAAAAATGCTGGGTTAAATATAACCCAGCGCTGGGTTAAAAAGGGACAAACCCAGCTATTGGGTTGTTTTGACCCAGCTATTGGGTTGTTTTGACCCAGCTATTGACTTGTTTTGACCCAGCTATTGGGTTGTTTTGACCCAGCTATTGACTTGTTTTGACCCAGCTATTGAGTTGTTTTGATAACAATAGCCGGTCAAAACAACCTTTTGTGCAGATGAAAGAAAGTCATACAGGTCTGGAATTATATAAGGGTGAGTAAATTATGACTAAATGATAAATTTGAACCATCCCTTTCTGTCACCATCCTGTCACAAGGAAAACATTCTTTAATTGAAAACTGAAAACTTTTTTCTTGATATGTTATCTTCAAATGTGGCGAAACTGTCAACCCAGCTAATTGATTATTCTCATAGCATTAACTTTCAGAACCTTCTGGCAAGTTCTTCCAGTAACATTAATAGAAAGTTTGTTCCAAGTTATCTGGCTTTTAATAACGTTCTCAAAACTTTAGCAAAAATGTTCTTTATGAATTGCCCAGGGAACTTTTTTCTAGAACATTTTATCCTTGACATGTTGGGTTCAGCCATAGCATTCTAGCACGAGTGACTCAACGCATCTGTCAAAGATATCCATCTAGCTCATTTTTTACATAGAAAATCTATTAAAAAACAGTGCTGTGAAAAACAAACGTTTGAATATAACAGTCACCTGAAAAAAGATGTTCCAATCAGCTAATGCTCTTTAGGTCTGATGCAGTAATTTATTAATGTCCCTGAAAATCTGGCAAGGAAATGAATAGCAGGATGTGATTGTAAAGTAGAACTGCGTGTGCAGAAGCTTTTGAATGTGAGTGTTTGAGTTTATTGTTGTTTAAGTACTTCTCTCAGTAAAGACTCTGTCTACTATTTCAGTCTGGAAACAACTTTTTACAAATTATTGACAGTTCCACAGAGTCTTGTGGCCAAAACGTTGCTGGACGCAATATCATTACATAACACTGTTGGTGGGCAGCACATTACAGCAAAGGCTTTGTAGTATTCTCTCTTAACCTCCTGAGACCCTGTGACCTCATATGAGGACATTATATTTTGGGGTATTTCTCTGAGACTATACATGCCACAGTTTTAAATCTGGATGTCCTGTACGGAGCACATTCAGGGCTTTTTTAAAAGCATGTTTAATAGCATTTTGGGAGACATAACACATGAATAGGGAAAGAAATGATGTTTCAATATTCTATGAAATATTATATATTATTATGAAAATCTTGTCAAATATTACTCCCATTATTACACTTCTTTTTTCATTACATGTTGCCCCCAAAACACATTAATATGCAAATTAAATTTAGTTTATAGATACATTGTATATAATGAGAAAACCCGTTTATGGCCATTTTACACACATTTTGCAGAAAGAAAAATGGTATATCAAATCATTCTGTTATAACATAGTTGAGAATCATCTTTATACAAAGTTTGGTAAAAAAGAAAATCCTGAAAACTAAAAATGTATTGGTGATTTAAAAAA